ACATTTCAAAAATTAAGAATTTCAAATTTACACTTTTGCAATCTCTGTCGTCACCTATTAAAAGTGTCACCGTTTGCCACCAGGTACAAAGGTAAATAAAAACCATTTTTTTAAATGTATTTTAAAGTAGGTATAAAATTAATTGTAAAATGAAACTTAAGGAACTTTCGTTAAAATGATCTTCACAGCAAAATCTCCTACTTTTGCTGACATATTGTTGTCTTGCCGCTTCAAACCAGGCTCTTCGACAGCTTTCATCCAAAGGAACAGTTATAAAAACTTTTTCAGGAGAGCCTTCAGAGTTATTTAGACAGCCCTTCACAAAACAAACTTTAACACCCTTCATTACAAAAATAATAAAGAGGGTACAATAAAACAAAATTGAAAACTCAAAGTATTTAAAGCCAAACAAAAAATCCACCAAATACAAATCTAACCTCGAACCCTCGAACGCCTCGAACATCCGAACAACTTTGGTAGTGTTTAGTGCTTCGATAAAAATGGCAGTGACCTGTTAATTATAAAAATTTAAGTTTTAATTTCTAGTAGTAAAAATAAAAAAGTAAATTTAATATTGGGGTAATAAAGAATAATCCCACAAAAAAAAACGTATTTTTTAACGATCCTAATAAAAATAGAAAATCTAACGTGATTTTAAGATATATGGTGTAAATACGGTAGCATAGAACTAGACGCCATAATATTATTCTTCAGAGGCTCGCGCCCTCTGTCAACTATTCAGTCAAATACTAACAGGTGACGTCACAATTTTCTACGCGTCATTTCAAACCAGTGAAATTTGTATTGAATTTGATTTATTATTTATTCCTTAATTGTAACTTCGTTGCATTTCTTTTTCTATTGAGGGAGTTCTTTTTAATCACTTCAATTGAATTTTATATTTAAAATAACAAAAATTTATTATGGTTAAACACCGGATTGTCATAATTTATGTTTATATACAAAGTTTACAAACAACCATTACAAGAAGAAAAATAAAATTATCGTTTCTTCTTTGTTACGTAACTTTTCTCTTCCAATTTCTCAAATATTTATTGTCTTCCGGTAAATTGTGGAGATATAGGGCAAGAGGAAGTCGTTCCTATTGCAGACCAGTGCTGCAATACTGCCCTTATTCTTTTTCTGTCAGCAAGAAAGTTAGAAATCATCTCGATTCTCGATGTTCGATCTTGTGTAATGTACTGTACATCGTATTCTTACGTTTGATTTATAAAGTTAAACTTACAGTTTTTAATTTAAGAAAAACTCCGTTGTTAGTTAACAGAAGAAAAATATGTTCTGTTAACATTTAATTTAGTCCATGGTCATTAATAAACCTACTAAAAACTTATGTAAAATTAATTTCACTAAAAGGTATACAGGGTGTTTCAAAAAATATGTGCCATCTCTCGTGGGAAGATTCCTGACGTAAAAATAAGATTTATTTTTTATATCAGCATAGTCCGATTCTGCTTTGTTTCGTAGCTACAGGGTGTTAAAATCTTAATACTCTTTCGATTTATTATAATTTTCTTCCCAGTAGTTTTAGTGATTCTAATGAAATTTTGGGGGTAATAGTTACCGTGCTACATATTTTAATGCTAAAAAAGTGGAGATAAATTTATCAGGGGGGTGAATATGGGTTATCGCTGGAATATTTTTCAAGAAAAAAAAATATGTGCGCCACTGACTTTTTTCTTTTGATGTCAAAATTGTGTAGGCAGTTTAATGCCAATTAAAAGTCATCTCTTGATATTTTGTCGAATTGGGCCTCCTTGATGAGATAAACGCAATTTTATTAATCACAATTAATAAAATTAAAATAAAAATAAAATTATAAATTAAATATTCTACCTAATTTATTATTAAATATTATTACTATCAGTTATTATTACTATTAATCCAACATACAGCAACTTCAAATAAAAAAGAATGGTATTTAAAATAATTACAAAAACCTAATTTTAAAAAGTTTTAACATCCTGTAACTGTAAAACTATGCATATTCATACCCATGTTTATAGACACTTTTTTTCATATTTTTTGACGGGAAATCATTGAGTACTTATTTAAAACTTTCGCAAGTTAATGATATTAAAATTTTTTAAAGGTTGCATTAGGCTTGGATCAAAGCGTATTAATAAAATTGCGTTTATCTCATCAAGTAGGCCGAAATCGACAAAATATCAAGAGACAACTTTTAATCTGTATTAAACTGCTTACACATTCCGCTAACAAAATAAAAAAGGTCAGTAGCGTACATGTTTTTTTAGAAAAATATTCCAGTGATAACTCATATGCACGTCCTTGGTGAATATATTGACACTTTATTAGCATTAAAATATGCCGCATTTATAGTCACTTTTATCCGCAAAATTTCATTCAAAATGCTAAAAGTACTTGAAAGAAAATTATAATAAATCGAAAAAATATTAGAAACAACTTTAACACCCAGCAACTACGAAACAAAGCAGAATTGGACCTATGTTGATATGAAAAACAAATCTTATTTTTACGTGAGGAATCTCGTCACGAGAAATGGCACATGTTTTTTAAAACGCCCTGTATCAAAGTATATTATTTAGTAGTAGCAATTAATGTTAAATTAATCGTATCAAGGGTACCTACATCGATCAAATTATACAATAATTACGACATAACCTCCATAACGATCATATAAAATTCATGATGACGACAGCAGCCATATTGGGACAGGACAAAGGGCACGAGGGGAGACCCCCGGCGCTAAGACAAGGCCTAACAAATAGAGTTGCCCCGCCTCGGCGGTAATTCAATAAGAGAGATGTCAGCGGGTATATAAAGGCCTTAAGAACACCCCTTGTTTCTGTCTCTTTCTACAGAAGAGATCAGCGAAATGCCGAACATTAATGAGATTTACAGTGTGATGGAGTTGTGTATACCATTAGCAGAGTATATTATGGAAAGGTTCTGAAAAACAGAATTGAAAAAAGTCTCTTCACATAACACAAATCCTAGAAAAGAAAACAGCATTCGATCAGGAAGTTCATATTCTATTTGTTGATTTGAACAAAGCTTATGATAGTATACCTTTAAGGAGAGTTTGGGAGACGCTATACCGGGTGTTGCATCATCGGACGGGACATAGGAAATCCCATGTAAATTTTAATGGGGTCAATTATTGGCTTCCCTAATTATTTTAGAGAATAATTCTATTTAGGTTTATTGAAGAACACTAAAACCCACATTCAAAAGAATAACTTTAGATATTTTTGATTAGCTCGTTTACGAGTTATCGCCGATTTCTTTTTAAACATTTCCCCTTTCTTATGGCCCTGTATTTACTTATGAGCATCAGTCAAGGTAAAAGATAACTGTCAAATGAAGTTGTCATTTCAGAAATTTATCTATTTCGTGCTTGATTATTATTATTAAAAACTCATACCTACATCGAAAATATTAGCCATGAATTACACTACCGAAGAAAAAGTATTGATGATTAAATGGTATTATCAAGGAAATAGTTATCAAAAGGTGTCGGACATGTTTGCTGCTCTGTATCCGAATAGACCGATACCTGGAAAATCTACAATCGCAAGGAATATCGAGAGACTTGAGACCAAAAGTACCCTAATAAATAACTGCAGAATAATTTGGAACTATTCGAAAATCATATTTTACCTGCTTTACATGATGCCGCTAGGGAAAATCAGGAAGTTTGGTACCAAATGGATGGCTGCCCGACACATAGTACCCTGGCTGTTCGGGAATATTTAGACAATAGTTTTAACGGAAACGTTATTGGCCTAAATCATACAGTAAATTGGCCAGCAAGGTCTCCTGATATTTCGCCAAATGATTTCTTTCTCTGGGGCCATTTAAAAAACAGGATATACAAAAATTAAATATACCAAAATCTAGACGAGTTAAAAAATGCTATTTCTGCCGAATGCAATAGAATTTCAGTTTACCAACTAGCGAATGTAAGAAGTGAATTTTATGATCGCCTGGGTTATTGTCTAGCAGTCGATGGAAGAATATTTGAACATCTTAAATCCTAAAGTTCTAACAATTTAATAGTACCTAAATTAGTATGTTAGTGAATATTGTAATAATGCTATAATTAACCTTGTAATTGATTACTTTATTTTACTTTAATTCATATTAATTTGTATTTATAAATACATCTTTAAGATTTCCGATGTAGGAATGAGTTTTCAATAATAATAAAGCACTAAATAGATAAATTTCTGAAAAGACAACTTCATTTGACAGTTATCTTTTACCTTGACTGATGCTCATAAGTAAATACAGGGCCATAAGAAAGGAGAAATATTTAAAAAGAAATCGGCGATAACTGGTAAACGGGCTAATCAAAAATATCTAAAGTTATTCTTTTGAATGTGAGTTTTACTGCTCTTCAATAAACCTAAATAGAATTATTCTCTAAAATAATTAGGGAAGCCAATAATTGACCCCATTAAAATTTACATGGGATTTTCTATGTCCCGTCCGATGATGCAACACCCGGTATATGAACACAGAAATAATAAAGGCTGTTAAATCCTTATACCGTGACTCAAAATATAGAATTAAAAAAAACCATGGTTTAACACCGGGATTTACAGTCACTAAAGGCCCTAGACAAGGATGTTGCTTGTCGCCCAAATTATTTAAGATTTACTTGGAAAATACACTGAAGACATGGAAGCAAAAATGTCGTTATATAGGATTACCAGTAGATGATGATACTACAGTGTACACCTTGTCATTCGCAGATGACCATGTTGTAGCACATAATATAGACGACTTGGAATGCGTGACCCGAAAACTTATCGAGGAGTATGAGAAATGGGGATTGGAACTGAATATTAAAAAAAAACTGAATACATGGGCATTGGTGGACAACAAGACCTACGATTAGCAACAGGACAAGTCATCAGATATTGCAACAGCTACAAATATCTCGGAGTGAAATATCCAAAGACGGAACACTGGATGAAGCAATATTGGAAAGAAATATGCAAGGAAGAAAAGCAGTTTCAATCCTAAATGGAATACTATGGGATAAGAATATAACTATAGAAAACAAAAAAATAATTTACAATTCCATCGTAAAAAGCATAATTACCTACAGCTCTGAAGTATGGCCCTTAAAAGAGAAAACTGAAAGAACGCGAAAAGCCACGGAGATGGACTTTTGGAGAAGATCGGCTGGAAAATCCAGAATAGATAAAATACCAAGTGAAACCATAAGACGCCAAATGGAACTAAAACACGACATCGAAGATGACATTAGAACTCAGCAATTAATATGGTATGGACATGGTCAAAGAATGGAAGAACATCGAATCCCAAAGAAAATATTCAATTGGAACCCTCAAGGTAGAAGAAAAATAGGAAGACCAGGCAGGAGCTGGAGAGAGGGTATTGATAAAGAAGTTTTGTACAGAGGTTTGGAAGTAAATGGATGGGGAGATAGAGAGAGGTGGAGACTAGGAATCGAAAGACGGGAAACCGTTATAACCCGATTATATATATATGGAGTTATGTTTTAGCGGCACATACCTACACAGAAAAAACATTAAGGTATTTTCAACAATAGTCGCATTATTGAGAGCAAACCCATTCATACAAATATAGTGCAGTTAACAGAAATATTCTAATATACACAGGAATACCTACATATATTTAGTTAATTATTTTTATTATTTATTAAATCAGAATATTTTTTTCTCTTGTTATTTTAGACAGTAAATTAGCATTGCAAATTGCTGTTTTGTCAAGATTTGCACCACTCAGAGGTCGAACATGAGTGGGAAAACACACTGAAAAAGAAAAAAACTCGAACTAGCCATTGTAGTAGTCGAAACTGTGATATTTTTTATGGTTGTTTAGCGCCTAGGTAGCGTTGGGCAAACTTTAGTTTAATAAGAAGGAAGAAGAAAATATAAGGTTATTTATTATTATATCAAATGTAACACTTTATTTAAACAATAATAAAAATATATGAAATGAAATATAGTGATATATTGAATTAAACATGAGAGTAAAATCCTTTCAAGAACGATAAAACCTTAATTTCAGGACATAGTCAAATTGCTTCAAATAAGGTTAAGTTCATTCAATATCATATAATATTTGCAACAAAAATACACCATAACTGGATATGGTTAAATGAGATGAAAATGATGATGATTGTTCCAAATGCGTGTACACAGCGCATTTGTCAGATATCAGTTAGATCTGCTAGCATATGAATGAATATTTATCGTCCATTTCAAAAAGTCTCTCTATATTACTCTGACACATTTTAATCTGAAATCTGAACATAGATCTATCAAAGAACATTTCTTCCTGAGATAAAATTTCAACGATGACTCGATGTAATCCATTACTGATACAGATGCAGCATAAATTTATATTAATTTAAAAAAACAAACTACAACCGTAAAAAGGAAGCCGAACTTCCGACGCGAGCGAAAAACGATGCAAAAGCCATATCGTTAATTTAAAACTGTCGCCGGCCCCACGACCGTCGAATAAAACCAGTTCAGTCAATTTTCCAGTATCGTATCGTTTTCCACCGACTACGGCTCGATTTATAACGTATTACCCCCCGCCCAGGCCCCATTACTACTCCCCAGATCCCCCCAGAAACCACCACGGCCGCCTGCATCATCTCGCCACGGCATCCCAAGTCCAAATTCGATATTTCTCCGTCAACGGACTCGCTAGAGCGCCGCTCGCACGTCTTCGGCAGCGTTCGGTAGAGCTCGGAAGGAAAAGCTCCCGAAAGCGCGCTTGTTTTTCGCGTAAGCTCCGACGCGATGAAGCTACGAGAACGCCAGTCTCTACCCGATCGCAGATGAGATCGGACGATACTTGCTCTCGGGTCAGTTCGTAATAGATCGGGAACAGTGTGCTTTTTGTTCGGTTCGTTCGTGTATGATTTTTTGTGCTCAGTGCTTCAGTTTTCGCGGAATAAAACATAATATGCTCGTTAAAGAGATTTGATAGGAAATTTCTGAGAAAATGGCAACAAGGGTGTTTTCATTATGCCTGATCCTAACAGCGTTAAAAACAGGAAGTTTTACAGAAATGACACCAACGGATGCTTCAGGGGGGTTGAAGTACGAAGCTCCTGATGACTGTCAGTGGTGGGTTAGAGACCCATCGGTCTCAGGAGGCCAGGACGAAGTAGCTCTAACCTGTAACCTTCGAACCATCAACAGTGAATTTGACACCACGAACTTCAGCGTGATACCCTCAGAACATACTACCTCACTTCGAGTCGAATGCAACTCCGACATCATGTCCAGATCGAGCTTGGACGATAAAAGTTTTGTCCATCTCACCAAACTTAGAGCTCTAGAGTTAGAGCACTGTAAATTAGCTCGATGGCCAGCTGGAACCCTCCTAGGTCTAAGAGACTTAAGAAACCTCACTGTGAGAACACACAACACTGACTGGCCTGCCATGAACTTAGACTTTGCCAGAGACAGTTTTAACCCTGTTCGTCAACTAGAACGATTAGACTTATCCTGTAACAACATCTGGTCGTTTCCAGAAAACATTTTCTGTCCCCTCATCAACATGTTGTTTTTAAACGTCAGTGAAAACCGTCTTCAAGACGTAAGTGATTTAGGATTTAGAGAAAAAGCTCCTGGAGTGCCTCAACCGTTGATTAGTGTAGCAGAGGATGATCAGCATAGAGAAGACAACAGCAGGACTGCACCACATCCGTGCAGTTTGGACATTCAGGTACTAGACAGTTCCTTTAATCATTTCGTGTTGATACCAGCAAATGGGTTTAGCGTTCTAAGACGTTTACGCGAATTCTACATTCATAACAACGAAATAAGCATGGTAGCTGACAAGGCTTTAAACGGGCTGAAAGCTCTTCAAATTTTCGACCTTTCTAACAACAAAGTTGTGGCATTGCCATCGGAATTGTTTAAAGACTGTAAAGAAACTATCAGGGAAATTTATTTACAGAACAACACTATCAGTGTCCTGGCACCTGGTTTGTTTGCTAACCTAGAACAACTCCTAGCTTTAGACTTATCCAAAAATCTTCTTAGCAGCTCATGGATAAATGCCGATACTTTCTCTGGCTTAATACGGCTAGTTTTACTAAATCTCTCTCACAACAGAATATCTAAATTAGATCCCTCATTTTTTCGTGATCTCTACACATTACAAATCCTGAATTTAGAGCATAACTCGATCGAGATGATTCCAGCAGACACGTTTGCTCCAATGAATAACCTACACACTCTCATCATTTCATTCAACAAGATCACTTACCTAGATGCTTACTCATTAAACGGATTATACGTACTCTCTTTGTTAGCTCTAGACAACAATGTTCTTGAAGGAGTCCATCCTGAAGCTTTCCGAAACTGTTCAAGCTTGCAAGACCTGAATCTTAACAGTAATCAACTCAAAGCTGTTCCTTTAGCTCTCAAAGACATGAGGCTGTTACGTACCGTAGATTTAGGCGAAAATCTTATCACTTACATTGAAGAGCCTGGTTTTAGAGGTTTGAGTAACCTCTACGGATTGAGGATGCTAGGAAATCGAATTCAGAACGTTAGTAAGCGGGCGTTTGCTGATCTTCCTGCCTTACAAATACTGAACTTGGCTAGGAATCGTATTCAAAGAATCGAACATGGTTCATTTTCAAATAGTCCTAATTTACAGGCTATTAGAGTTGATTCCAATATGCTTACTGACGTAAACGGACTCTTTGCAGATATTCAAAGTTTGTTATGGTTAAACGTTTCCGATAACCAACTGGAATGGTTTGATTATGCCCTCATTCCTCAGGGACTACAATGGTTGGATTTACACAACAACAATATTAGAGAACTTGGTAATAAATATAACCTAGATTTTGAGTTAAAACTTGAACAACTCGACGCAAGTTTTAATAAGATATCGAAAATAAACTCTGCGTCAGTTCCGAGTAGTATAGAACAACTTTTTTTAAACGACAATTTAATCAGTATCGTTGAACCGCACACCTTTGTGAAGAAAACTAATTTAACCAGAGTGGACTTATACGCTAACCAGATAGCGAGTATGGATTTGAAAGCGTTAAGATTGACTCCTGTGGACCCCGAGAAAAATCTACCCGAATTTTATATCGGAGGTAATCCTTTTCAGTGTGACTGTACGATGGAATGGCTACAAAGAATTAATAAACTAGACCACTTGAGACAACATCCGAAAGTAATGGACCTAGAAAGTATTTATTGCAAGTTGTTACATAACAGAGAGAATAATTATCTTCCTTTAATAGACGTGGATTCGTCTCAGTTCCTATGCACTTACAAAACCCACTGTTTTGCCTTATGTCATTGCTGTGACTTTGACGCTTGCGACTGTGAAATGACCTGTCCGAATAATTGCACTTGTTACCATGATGAAAGCTGGGCAGCTAATGTCGTTGAATGTAGTGGAGCAGGGTACACTGAAATGCCTAACAGCATTCCCATGGACGCCACTGAAGTTTACTTGGATGGAAATAACTTTGGAGAGCTATCAAGTCATTCGTTCATTGGCAGAAAGAATCTTAAGGTCCTCTATGCTAATAGTTCTAACATCGCTGCAATATACAACCACACTTTTAGCGGTTTAAGACGATTAACTATACTGCATTTGGAGAATAATCACATCAAGGAGCTTCTAGGATTTGAGCTAGCGACATTAGAGTCTTTGCATGAGCTATATTTGCAAGGAAACATGATCCATCATATCGATAACCGTACTTTTTTGGAATTGAAGCAACTCAGAGTACTAAGATTGGACGAGAACAAGCTTTATTCGTTTGAAGTTTGGAAATTATCATTAAATCCTTACTTAGTTGAGATTGGCTTGGCTTATAATCACTGGTCGTGCGATTGTGCCTATGTTAACAAGTTCAAGACCTGGTTAAAGCAAGATTACGGTAAGGTTATTGACGGAACTAGGATAACGTGTGTCATAAACAATGCAACAAACTTGTTAGGACCTAAATTAGCTGATTTCAACTCGTCCAGATGTTTGTATGCCTTACCAAATGGAAACCATGCAATCGTAGAACAGCAAGTTATGAATGATTACCTTCCTTTGCTTCTTGGAACGATGTGTGCTTTTATATTCAGCGTAGTTTTGGTTTGTGGAGCTTTTTACTATCGTAGAGAGTTGAGAGTTTGGATATATTCAAGATGTGGACTGAGAATGTGTTATAAAACTACTGCCTTTGAGGAGCAACAAGATAAAGACAGATTGTTCGATGCTTACGTTAGTTATAGTGTCAAAGACGAAGGGTTTGTTAGTCAGGTGCTTGCGCCAGGTCTAGAAGGTGGGGACCCGTGTTATAGACTCTGCTTGCATTATAGAGACTTTAACGTATCTGCATACGTCGCAGATACAATCATAGAAGCGGTAGAATCTTCCAGACGTACTATCATAGTTCTCTCAAAGAACTTCCTGCACAACGAATGGTGCAGGTTCGAGTTCAAGTCAGCATTACACGAAGTGCTGAAAGACAGACGTAAAAGACTGATTTTCATAGTGACGGGTGAGTTACCGCATCGGGATTTAGATCCCGACCTTCGGTTGTACCTCAAAACGAACACGGTTATCGAATGGGGTGACAGACAGTTCTGGCAGAAGTTACAGTTCGCGATGCCCGATGCCAGGAGGTCGTGCGTTCATCAGAGGTCATCTGTGAACATATATGCAACGGCAACACCGTCTCACTTGATGGACAGGTCCAGGAGTCCGGTGTTGCCGCCTCCGCCGCCTCCAGGAAAATTGCCGCCGTTTTTGCAGAATTCCTCGAGTTTGCCCAGGGATTCGAGGAATATGCCGCATCCTTTGTGGGCGTAGCGTTCGCTGTTTAATAGGTAAGTTCGTTTGAATGTGATCACTGAAATGATGAATAATTTAGATTTATTATAGTATTAACAAACGTTCTTGTTGGGCAGAATTTTTGATCGGAATATTATACATATAGGTAGTTTATTGAGCACATAACGAAATTTGGTGATAATTATATAAATTAATGAATTATACCTAGTAATAATATATACTCAAAAACTACTAAAAAAATTCAAAGCATTCCCGAGCTTGAGAAAAAAATCCTGAAATATTTTAGTTGCTAGCATAAAAATGATAAAAATCGCATTTAGCAGTAAATATTTTGCCTAATATAGCAATTATTTTTATCTAAAAGTCGTGAAAAAATCTCATAAAATTTTACAGCTCTAGCCGACCCATTTGCTGAAAATTTTAACTGGGTTTTTTCTCTTGTCTTTGATTAAAATCTTCATATTTAAACCGAAGGTAATTATAGTAAACACATAAAACATTCTTCACCGAAAACTGAAAAAACTTTATGATTTTGTATTAGAGCGGTGGAAAATTAAAGAAATATTTTAGTTTACGATCCTTCATAGAACTATATAAAGCGAATAAAAAATTCCTTAAAAATAAAATTAACTATTCAGGGAATGCAGGATGTAATCGGCCATAAAAGCTGTAACAGCATACTAGTGGTTGTTTCTGAACGTAATAAACTATCATGCTACAGTTTAGAGTTCCTCAACCACCTGTATAAGATTTAAAATTCAACTTATTAAGTTTTAGTTCAAGAATATTAGGACAATAATTTTATAATTCATTTCTCTCACTCCGACTTAATAAGATCCCTATGCGATTTACACATGTAAATGCCGACCCAAAAGTAAAGTTGCCAGCACGGTATATTATATTTTAGAAGTCTGCCTAAGGCAACACCCAAAATTCCAAACACACGTGCTGCTTTGATTAAGGCTTGATCAATGTTTGTAGAGCTTCAGCATTTGACATAAAATAGCGAGCAATTTGTTACAAAACCATATAAATTATATATCACTGTAATCACAAAATCACTTTATCTTTAATTTCCTTCTTCATTTGTGTAAAAATACCTAGCCAGTTTTTTCTGTTAAGTTTTATTTCATGATAATTATTTTAATAGTTCATGAAAGATTGCTCTATAGAAACAAACATGCACTCTTACACCTAATATCAACCATTATAGTATTATTTAAAATCCGCTTACAAGCCTACACAGCTTGGTAAGACTAACTTCAGTTTTAAAAATGATAATACCTTTTTAAGGAACACTAAGATAATCGATATAAACAATAAAATTTCCATAAGGCAATTTAGAAAACGACGTTTTTGGATCTAATAAGGTCTTCTATTATACTATAGCCTGGATTTTATGGCTATAGATAGATAATAAGATAAAGATAGTGGTCAGCTAGCAGAGCTCATTATAGATTTAAGTACCACATTGGCTGGTTAAAGAGCAAGTTGATACCACCCAGATGTTTATCGAGGCTGTAGCTAGATAAATATATGAAAGAAAGGGGTTAAGATACTTAGTGCTATAAATAGTTGGACAGTTTGTTTAATACTTTATAATCAGTCCAATATTGGTCCATCCTTTTTTATGCTTATTAAACATAAATATATAAGTAACTCTTGATCAACTCTAGAACTTTATCAATAGTCATAGTAAGAGGCGGTACACAAAACTACTAAATACTTTAGAGGTGCAAAATTTAGAAAAAAACAAATTGTCACGCGACGACACAAAAATTAGCCTTTTTGCACTATCAAATTGTCAAATTCAGGTTGCAAACGAGGGGTAAACCGCTGGTGTATTTTGGTGCACAAGATGTTGGCATTATTTGGTTTTAGTGTTATTAATCGTGGTATTAGTTGGCATTTTTGGCATTATTCGTGGTATTAGTGTACAGAAATTTGCCAGCGGTTTAGCCCTCGATTGCAAATTAAACAATCTAATTTTATTAATAAAATAATAGTTATTTTTTATACAAGACGATAAAATGGTATACGATAAAATACCATTTTATCGTCTTGTATAAAAAATAACTTCTTAAACGATCGAAAAGATTTTCGAATTTCGGGAGACGATAATGCAATTTTATCGTTGTGTATAAAACAATATTCTTTTCGATAGGGAGTTACGTTTTAAAAAATATTCAGAAATTATTATTTCAAGGAATTTATTACGAGTAAAAAAAATATTGTGCTGGGTTGGCGTTGGTTTCTATGTAATTTGACAAATAAATAAAGCTGTCTCTTTAGTCGTCAGTTTTGAGTCAATATTTTTTAAATCTCTTTCGTGTCGATTGCTGATTGAATTGGAGCCAGAAATGGCTCAAAACGAAATAAGTAAATTACCAACAGATATTCAGGCTGAGGCGACAAACGCCATATCCAAACTACTTCGATTTAAATCCCGAATAACTTATGAAAAGGAATACAAAAATTTTCAAAAATGGAAGCAATTAAAAAACGTGCGAGAAGAAATAAAGTTTTTAACCTATCTTCGCTGGTAAAGTATCATTTAATCTCCCCTTGCGGTTAAAGTACTATTTTATCTACTATTTTTGATAGATATAAGACAATTTTAAAAGTTGCTATAGAAAAAAGTATATTGTTTTATTAGGAAATAATATATCATTATATTTTATTTTAATATGGAATTTAATTCTTTTTGAGGAAGAGAAATTAATAATAATTGAGGAACTGTCAATGCAAGCAACTGTAATATTGGAATTGAAATCTTATTTCCACGGCTACCCTGACGTTTTTTTTTCTCGATAACAGGGTATATACACTACAGATTTCATTATACCATTAAGTACTAAGTTGTTTACTTAAACAAGCAACCCGATGCTGCCTCGATTCTTATCGGAACCATTGCGAGATGATCAAGAACCATCAAGACGCAACCTAGTTAGTACCCTACCGAGCGCTAACGAACCCAAAGGGGTTAAGGTGGTACTTTCCTAAATAAATAAAGGCGAGACCGGGGCCAATTAGAGCGGGTTTGTGCTGAGCGCGCGCGATTCTATCTCCTTTAATAAGATAATTTATATTTAAAATGGCGTCGCGGCAGTATAAGCTCTCTTACTTAATTATTTTCTTAATTAAAAAGCGACGAGTCTCTGTTCTTTTCGTTTCGACCCAAAATGGCCGCTAAGTACGTCCGTACTCTCGGTTTTTTCGTCTTGTTTAGTGTTTTTACGATAAATTACGATAAATGAATTACCAAATAATTTATATAGAATTTCTTCCCTAAATATTATTATGTAAATTTTACAACATTAATTTCATAGCTTTAAAAAACACATTTATTATGTTCTACTATTTTACTACGTTTATGACATTGCAAATAATTTTTATATGTTTTATATATATATATATATATATATATATATATATATATATATATATATATATATATATATATATATATATATATAAATATATATATATATATATATATATATATATATATATATATATATATATATATATATATATATATATATATATATATATATATATATATATATATATATATATATATATATATATATATATATATATATATATATATATATATATATATATATATATATATATATATATATATATATATATATATATATATATATATATATATATATATATATATATATATATATATATATATATATATATATATATATATATATATATATATATATATATATATATATATATATTTAGCAACTGTATTTAACTAAAAAATATGCCTTTAAATACACGTTTCTGAAAAATACAAAAAATAAAAACAAAAATGAGCGTCAGGTGTATTACGGTCGCGTCTGTGTAGCTAGCCTAAGGGCTTTCCTGCTTGTTATTTCCATAATTTTCTTCCAATTTACCATTTAAATGCACTGCGGTACGATATTTTTGTTTCTGCTTCTTAAGGAACAAAAAAAATGAGGTAAAACCGACTAAATGTTTGTAATGATCCTGCGGTAAATTTGGTATTTTTACTTTTGAAATAATACAGGTTGAAGAAAGGTCTTTAAGCTGGTGGCGTGTTTTAAGAAAAATGTTAAATGTAGGGCTATTTATGAAATAAGGTTGAATTTTGGTGGTTTAATATAATAAGTCCCTCCCTAACAGTCTTTGGCTCACAGAATTTTAATAGATGACACATCTACAATCGCTACAGCACCTTAATGTCCAAAATAATAACTCGTAGAGGGTTGTTTTCATTTTTGTTGAAAATTCCACAAATTTCAAACAAAATTTGGTCTTTCTTTTTAAACTTTTGTTATTCTTTACTATCAGCCAAGATTACATAATATACTATCGCATTTAATTAAAAAAAAAACGCGCTATGTTTGTTAAATTGTAAGATAGCGCCACCTAGGGTCTACATTCAAAAGTTTATTATTATTGTTTATACGGTATAATATAGAGTGAGAAACGCTCTTTTAAACGAGCCCCCCGTTGGTTGGATTTCGATCATCCACTCCGGAGTTATTAATATTTAAATAAAAACAGATCTAACCTTCCCCCACCACTTTATTTTGGCAAATAATGGAAAATGGTTCTAAAAAAATATTCAAAATTTACTGAAGATCATGAAACTATTATTTATAGTACTCGTTATCTAGGCAAAATTGTGTAAAAACTCCTTTTTCTTATTTTTTTATAGCAGTTGCGCTCTCTAGCGACCGTTCTATAAACTTGAAAATAATTTCCAGCAATTTCTCATAGCCTCTTTAGTTATAAATATTTTTTTCCACAGGCCCTACGGCTAATATTTAGTGAGACACCCTGTAGTTGTGAAACACTGGTGACAGAACATATCTGTCCAAAGTGTGGTACTGTAAGAACAGAAAACTGGTGATGTTATTTTTGACTTTCTATGAAAAATTACGCAGGATCGCGGGTGGTGAACCACGCAAGAGAGACAGAGAGAGATAAGGGCCAAGGCAGACCGGATCCAAGGGCGTGTAGGGTGGAAATGAGGGATGTGTAA